TGATGGTGAAGATGGCTATTGCAAGTCTTCATCATGGTATCTAGAGCAGAAGACTGCAAGGAATAATAATGAGGGAAACCAGCGCACTGGTAGTGGTGGTAGTGGTGGTGATGGTGCTGCTGGTGGTGTGGGTCGGAGTGGCGGTGGGGTGGTAGTAGTGGTGAGAGGAGCATAGCAGTAGTGGTCCGGAGGAATTGCGGACCCGACAGCACCCCAGACAGCAGCAACATCAATCACCCTAGCCAGCACAGCACTAACCTGAACTGCATTTTCGCCTCCCACTCCGCAACTATGCTACATAAGACAAACCACCAAGCCCGCAGCTTGAAATGGGCATCTCGGTGTCTTCCCGGCCAGGTCAAGCTTTTGAGAAGCTTCAGGCATGACAATGCCAGACACTCAGCGATTTCGTGTAAGGTTTGGGCTAAAGGCTCCGGATGGTTGACGCTTGCTGGAACATTCGACGCTTGAGGAATTCGGAATTCGCCCTGTGCCTTTGTCTAACATTTTCTATGCCTCTCTGTGTTTCTGCCTCTCTCGCTCTCTTTCCCTATCCCATTCTCTTTTCGTCTCCGCGGCTGTCACATGCTACTGTAGAATAGAAGAGCCACAGAAGTCCCGGCATATCCCTGCGTCATAGCTCGGGGCTCTGAGATGCGGGAGGTCTGCCGTAGCGATGAAATCATCAAACCCAAGCCCAGACACGGGAGCCTCGATATTTGGAGTGCTTCAATATTACTGCACAGCCCGACATACTGAAACATTTCCCCCAAGAATTTGTAGTCTTGGATGCCCCTATGCATTATGCCTGTCAGCATCCTCTGCATGCCGCGAAGCCTGCGCCTGCGCAGATCATCAGCATCCTGGACATGTACCCGCCAGGACCAGTGGACTTCAGGGTGTAGGAGGAACACGGACGCAGTGCAGACATCTGCTTGTAGGGTTTACGGCTGGCAGCTTTGGGAGTAGTCCCAACTCCGTTCCAGTTTGAGATGATGACTTGCAAAGCTGGTAAGCAAGCCGAGCTTCTGCACCCGAAGCCAACCCCGACTTTGCCTTTGCAGACCATCCTGACTTCGATGATATCTACATCGCTCCTCGGCGGCAGATGTCGGCCTAAGCACCTCTTCGCCCTGAGTTCCCGGACTGACGAGGGACGCATCCGGAAACCAATTCCAGAAGTGTATCGCCTTGCTTGGACTTCCCGGAAGGAAAGCCCGAAGCTCCCAGCACCCTAAAGGCACAAAACCATCAGAGCTCAATGATGGATCTGGGGGGTAGCCTGCGGGATCTCCTATGCACCCCTGAATGGCCCTGAAGCCCTAAGTCTTGAGGTTACTGACCTAATGGAGACAGATCTGCATCGCGTCATCTACTCGAAGCAGGCACGTGGTGTTAAGCGCTGGATGTATCGTGTAGGAACGTCGTGAGACAAGTCTCAGTCCTGCTCCAGCTCTTACCGTTAATCCATAAACAAAGACAGAATGCACAATGCATCGATTGGCCACAGATTGATGCCGCATTGTGTCGTTTTTTTCCAGAAGACTTCGAGCCATTCGACGAACTCCAGTGCTTCAATGGCTTATTAACAAATTCCCAGAAGCACCCTCCGTCGCATCAGAGATGTGTCTAGATGGAGTCTTCAAACCAGATCCTCCAAGTCGCCGGGTGAACAGCATGTCCCTGTCTCTCCTCTCCAGGTTTTGAACGACGAGCACCACCAGTGCTCTTCACCGTTCACCTGTCAAGGGCTATGATTTAAAGCGATGTTCTTACGAAGCCCCATCGGTGCAGCATGGTCTTAGTTATCGGGATTGCTGGGTGGTCTTTGCGAAGCTGCTACTTCTTGCCTTCCATGGCAGGCTTGATGCGTGATTCCAGGTACTTCTCCTACCAAATCCTCCGTGGATTGCTGTACCTCCACAGTGCGCGGGCTCAGCACATGCTGTGGGATCTGGCTCTGCAGCGGGCAAGGTGGCAAGATTCAGCGTGGGAATGTCCTTTGTCTCAAGTAGGATGGAGAGAGTCCAGCATGTCTCGGTGTACCTGGTTGCCATAGTGTTGCTTTGAATTTCACGGGGTGATGGGGCAGGTGTGTCATCCCGTATGCAGTAGAAAAGACGTAGTTTAGCACGATCCTCAGCCCTGATGTCTAAGAGTTCTCAACACTTGGAGTAGAGGTACTGAACCTACACTCCTCTAAGACGCGGGCAAAGGGGAAGCTAGAACTACTAGCGCTACTGAAGCGCTGCCTCCGCTCCTTGTCTTCCCCCAACTGATGGTGGCTTCACCTTGGTAGCCTTCAACATCAACATCATAGTCACCACTGCCACCACCATGCTGTTCATCATGGTGACGACAGCAACCCTCAATCACCTGCACCGTGATCTGCATCCTCATCCATACTTTTTCTTCCACTCTCCGAAGGTGCGAACGTGGTGCATCGCGATCTGAAGCCTGCAAATATCCTGGCGCCGCGTGCGTGCTTGCACGGCTGATCTGCAGTTGCCTCGACCCGGTTCGTTAGCCCGGCTATGGGATTGAGCGATGCTTGGGTGTCTGAGTCTGTGAGCCAGGTGAACAAGAACTGCGACCTGAAAATCTGCGATTTTGGTCTCGCTCGTGGGTTGGGCAATGACGAGGCCCGCGGGAAGTCTGGGGTGGCCTGAAATGGGCCTCTGACCAGGGCTTTCGTGAACTGGTATAATCGAGAATATGCAGCAATCGGTTCCAACTCGCAAGATCATTCCTTGCCTTCTGCATGTCGACGTAGTATCGTACTCCCATATGATCCACAAACCAGAGACCCCAAACCCTGATACTCCCAAACCCACGGCTCGGCACAACACGAGACTGTTCCTTCAGCCTCGGGTTTGGGGCTCCATCGTTTGATGTCTGGGGTGTTCGACATAAACGAGAGTATGCCAAACTATGCCAAACTCCTTGTGGGCGAGGGACCATAACCATAATTCGGATTGCAGTACCGGATCAGCAATGTGGTGACCTTCGGAACAATCAGGAGCCCGTCCTAAACCTTGAACCCGGATACGTTTCAACCCTAAGCACTGATTTCTTGCCAGGATGATCCAACCCTGACAGACTACGTGGTCACTAGGTGGTACAGAGCTCCGGAGGCTTGCGACTGAGAGTTTGGGGATTGACGGATAGTTTGTCGCATCAGGTCTTCTCTCTTGTCTGCATCATTTGTAACATGTACACCTCTGAGATGGCTTTCCCCCAAGACCTTGCTCCAATGACTCATGTTTCAGTCGTCGTGGGACTTGGGGATGCTTCTGGTGGTAGCAGCCGGTGCTGCCGCGTAGGAACTTAGGTAGCAAGCGATGAGCAGCTGAATTCGTTGCCTAGCTATCGTGGCAAGAACCACGGTCGCAGCCACAGCAGCAGCCACAACAAGACTGTGGATGTTCAAAGAGAGGGTAGGGGTCAAGATCGTAGGAGCATTTGTAGCCTTTGGCAACCACAATGTAGAACAGTGGCACGAGCAATAATCATGAGACAAGCAAGACAGCAGTTCTGTAGACTCGAGCATTAACCCCTAAATTTAAGCAGCATAAGCGTCGTCATCATCAACGTCAGCAAAATCATCAGTATCGTCACCATCATCACAATGAGCAGTATATTCAGACTCATGACCGTGGCAAATCGTACCAAGAGCAAGAAGGCAGCCTCTTCCAGGCACGATACCCTTACACTTGAGGTTGTCCTGCAGAACAATCGCCAAATCGCGAAGCCACCAGGTTTAGAGCCCCTGTGCCATTGCCAGATGTTCGGCGTGTGGAACGATTTTCTTTATCTCCTACCCTGCTCCTGTCATCTTAGCCGCCTCCATAGAGTTCGGGACCACGACGCTACCCTGTGCACACGGATCGGGTTCACCCAGAAAGCTCACGGAACCCCGAGCCAAGAAGCCCAGAGCTTCGAGGTTGTCCTGCTGGCATCAGAATACACCAAGTCCATCGATGTTTGGTCGGTTGGGTGCACCCTGCGCGCTTTGAGGGGGCGTCGAAGAGGGCCCTGGACTTGTTGAATCGAGAGTTGTGTTTGAAAGGTTGACGGGGACCCCATCTTCAGAAGTCCGATTGGCCAAATCCTCTAGACCCCCTTGCGGCACATGCCATAGCCTGAGCTCTCAAGCCTGAGCCGCAAGCCCGAGCCAAGCCTGAACATTCTGAAGTTCTGCGCTCGGAAGATTACCACTAGAATAGGCATCTTAAACTCAACCCTCCATGCAGAGCAATGCATATCTGAGAGGCTTGGAATTTCCAGTCAGTCGGTCTTAGTTCGCAACAGAACATACGAAGATTGGGGCCAGGTGCATTCTTTGCGAGTTGATCGGCCGCAAGCCCATCTTCACCGGCAAGGCCCAGCCCATTCTTTGTGTTTGGGGATGTTGGGGATGTTCCAGATGAGCACCTCCCGGTTTGAGGCCGCTCGCGGGGTGTTCGGTTTCATAAGACGAGGTCACAGGGTTGCGAAAACATCGCAATGTGGAGAGACGGATTCCACTTCAGGTGCAGGGCTCAGACGGTCCATGTTTAGATGTATTCAGAACGGTCCCCGGAAAGGCTTTTTCTGAGATATCTGAGATCCTTCCGTCTGCTGAAGGAACGCACTCTTCCGCACCCTGAGGTTCTCGTGTTTAGGAGCCGGGCTTGTGCGACTAAACCCAAAGTCTGCCCCCCGCCAACTCCTAGGCTTACGGCCTTACGTTTGCCTTGTGTTATTGAGGGGACACCTAAGCCCTAAATGTGAAGAGCGGCTTCTCAGCCCTTGCCTCCCGACTCCAAGCGCCTAGGTGATCCAACCTCCAAATCCCACAGCTCTTTGAAAGGACCACCTGGACCAGATCAAGAAGATCTTAGCTGTCGTGGGCACACCTTCGGAGGCCTGCTACGATGGTTTTGGGATTGCCCCCCTAGGACCTGCAGGAGAAGCCATGTGAGACCCGAAGTCGTCAAGGCTTGGACCCCAAGTCCGAGATGTCCCGAGACCCTCATAGCTCCGGTGCCTCTGTCGAGGGCCAGGATCGCGGAGCGATGCCCGGAACTCCCCAAGACCCCGCGACAAGTGATGTTAGTATGGGGTTTAGGGTCATAAGGGCAAGAGTCGTGAGAAGGGTTTGCAGCTCAAACCCCATCTGTCGGGCGCAGGAAGACCTGACATGGCTGCCTCCTCGGAGCCCTGCCAGGAACTTCATCAAGAAGGCGACCAGAAGATTTGAGGGGCCCTCGTGGGTTTTGGGCGAGGCAACTTTCTCGTTTACTTTAACAGATCAGGGAAAAGGGTTGCGGGGAGCCACAGCAGCCCTCCTTCTGCCATTCTTTTTAACCAGTGCGACTGCGAGTTGCCAACACGAGCCTCGTCCCTAGTCGCAAATCCCGGGTAGTTATGACAGCACTGACAGTAGCAGCCCACTGAAGCCTTAAACCTTACACATGTTGCTAGTACAAAGCCCAAAACAAAGCCATCAACGGAACATCCATGAGCGTCTCAAATCCCTGAAATCTTCACACATTTGCGCCAGGTCCCCCCTTGCACCAAGCAGAGCTGGAAGTCCGTCTATCCCAAGGCCTCTCTTGCTGTTTTTGAGTTGGGCGGTGCTGTAGGTCTGTGGGGGTTTTCCTCAGGGTGCTTCTGTGGAGGTCTTCGGTGGGTCTGGATGCCAATGCGGACGCAGCCTTGAGCTCTAATCACCCGACCTGGTCCTCGTAGTAGTCCACAAGCCCAGGCGGTGTGCAGATGCATGATCTTTGCAGAGTCTTGAGCTCCAGTGGAGTTGTTGCCGATGGCCAGGCGACTGAGGCGGGCATCTATGCCATTGAGCGGATGCCGCACACTGAGGAAGTCGGGGAAACAAGCCTTATTCCATACCGCGTCTATTGGGGTGGCTGCTGCTGCTGCTGCTGCTGCTGCTGCTGCTGCTGCTGCTGCTCTACTAGCAACACTACCGGTAAGTACTAGCTAGTGAGAGTACAAGTGCCGGTAAGTACCGTTAACACCAGTAGCACTGCGACGACGACGACGACGACGACGACAACTACTGTCACCCTAAGGACATTGACCATCGTTCTTTGCATCGCAACCAGGGTTCCCCTACTTGGCCTCAGCTCCGAGACCCAGCCGCCGAATTTCTTAAATGTGCTGGTGAAGTCATGTTCAGCGGTTCTCTTCTTTTCCTCGCCTTTCGCCGTCAGTACAGCCCAGGAGCCCGGAACTGCACACCCCCAGCCCGAAACATAAAGGCCTGGGGCACAAATGGCATCGACGTTCGAAGCTGCGGCACCCCAGGCTCACTTTCAACCCGACCAAGCGAGCGACGATCCCAGAGTGCCTCGTTCTACCGTGCCGCCCGGGCTTGGGGTTTCGGGAAGAAGGTCTTGGGTGCGTACAGACCACTTGTGGTGAGGCGTGAGGTGTGCCTTTAGCTGAACATGGACGTGGCTCAACCCTGGCTTCGTCTGGTTTCCTTTATCAGTGGAACATACAATGTAATCATGCCTTTCAAGAATGGCCAGGTATTATGAAACGCTTCACATGCCCGACGACGAGCCCGTGGCCGAAAATCCGGTCGACTGGGCTTTCGACAAGCCCTGCACCCGGAGTGCTTCAGGGTTTAGGGTTTATATGGGTGGAACCCAGGACAAGATTCTTTTGTGTGCCTGTCAAGTAGCCGAAACTTGAAGCCGGGTTCCAAAGTCCGAACCCCTGAAGCCTTGGCCTCAAGAACCCTGATCCCTCCTATCAACCCCGGATCCCATTCTAAGCTTTTGAGTACCCGCCCAGGTTCACTCCTACAAAGAGGTTGCTGCAAAATTACATTTACGCCGAGCGGCCTCGCCATGTCTTTCAGCTTTTTGTGGAGACGGCTCGCATGGCTGGGGTTTCAACAGGCCCGCAGCACAGCTCCTTTTGCCAGGTGCTTCAAGTTTCACCCGGAGATCCAGCAGCGGGACGCGAAGGCTCACAAGGGCAGAGGGTCTCTGGTTCAAAATGAATAGCGAAGCAGCCGTCCCCCAACTCGACTCCTTCTAAAGCTTGGTCGTGAAGCCCCAAACCCCATCTAGCCACCAGCCTTAGACCCGATGCTCTAACGACCCGATATTTGCAGACCACTAAACCCCAGAAGCCCAAAGGAGCAGGGCGGAAACAAAAAAGACAAAACCCCACAGTTGCTGGACGCACGGGGCATCACGGAGCTGCTGAAGTAGCCGCCGCGGCCTCGACGAGGGCTACCTGGCCATGCGGCCACTTAAGAAGAACCTAAAGTTGAGTTCTGGACTCGAAACCCGGAGCCCTAAACTTGGAGACTTTGAGGGTCTTCGAAGTTGGGTTCTTGCAGGGCGCAGGGATGGAAGGGCTTGCTTGCAGTTTCAGGATTCCTCTGCTGGGTGCAGGGCCTGGAGTTCTTTGGATGCGATAGAAATTTCATGGTAGCAGATACTGACCCTTTCATGCTGGTAGCCGTGGTCGTAGTAGAAGAGGAGTAAAGTCGGAAACCAGCCATAGTCATAGCCGCATGGTCAGTACATCGTTTTTTGTCAGCACAGCTTTCTCTCATCTGTCTCTCCTGCTACCGCTTATCCTCGCCCTTTCCGAATGCTCCGTTCCGCTCCTAAGGACCCCGTGAGGCCGTGTGAGTGGCGGGGAGTGCCGAGCCTCCTCCTTTCCGGGTGTCTTGCCATGCTGCCGTCGGATCCTGCAGCCTTAGATGAGCCTCCACTGCAGGGACTGAAATTATCGGACAGAGATCTTTTCGAGTCTACTGTATACTACAGTCACGTGCAAAGAACGACGATGTAGTCAACATGCCGGCGCCCGCGGTTCATGCCTGGCTGCAGGTGCGCACAAATGTCGCATCATCGAACTCGCACCATTGCATCCTTGATCTGGCTTCATTAGCAGCGGGCAATGCGAACAACCAATTCGCAGCGGCAATATACTCTGTAGGTGGTATGTGTCAGTTCGCAGAAAGGTAGAGCAGAGTAGATACTGCCAAGCATTTCGTACGCATGCAGCTAGGCTTTATGCACCTTCCAGCAGTTTCAGCCTGTTTCACTTAAGCCTTAAGCAGGGAGTTACACTGGGACCCCATCCCTTCGGAGCGCTGGCCTTGCCTGCCACATCCGCAGACTCTGAAGATACTAGATCAGGAACTTTAGACCTGTATAATCTTTTTCATGTATAAGCATGCGCTGTACTTTGCCCTACCCAATCCCTCAGCCTCTTGGGCTCGTGGCTTCGGTTCTGACGGGAGGAAGCAAGCAGGCACGGGGCGTTGAGCCTCTTTTGCCTCGTGGGTGTGGCAAGGGACCACCTAAAATGTAGTCCATGAAGTCGCAAGTGAAAACTAAAGCCTGAAGGGAGCACGACTGTCAGATGTGGGCATGGTCAGCAACTGCATTTGCAGTAATGGCTATTGCCATCACAAGTGCTCCTACTGTAGCACCGGCTGCAGATTGTCTCAAGTGCAACGAAGTGTAAGATGCATTTGTGGTGGTTCCTTGCCATCGGTGAGCACTAGTGAAATAGCCTGGCACGTGTGACTTGAACTCCAAAGGTAGTTCGAATAGTCATCTGCACGAGTGCGGAAGGTCACTTTGAGAGTCTTCAAAGCCGCATTTGGGTCGGTACCTCCAGCCTCATGCCAGCTTTTGAAGATTTGTTGTGCGAGGTTTTCGGCACTTGGACGCAGATGCATTGTCCCACACCCGAGCTGGTTGAGATGCAGCGGGCGGGCTCCGCGTACCGCCAGCGACAAGTTTACTGTCGCGGCCAGTGGATGCAGAAAGGCTGATGCAACAACTTGCGAACCCATGTAACTTCAGCTTGGTCTCTCTCTCTCTCTCTGTATACATGTGAAAATATGTACATAGTCTACCTTATATAATCTTATAACATAACATGTAGTGAGTACCCAGTACATATTGGACAGTACAGGCCATGTATGACGTAAAATGTAATACTGTAATGTGTGCAGTATCTGGCAAACGACATGCTATACAAAATGTCATGTTATCTCTTTTTTCATCTGAGTAAGTAATCTATAACCGAAATTTGTAATATATAACAGTGTATACAGACAGTGTAGCATGTTTCCAACTTCTTGTAACCTATAATCTGCAACCTATGTGCTATGTGCTTTAGCCTGTACCCGACAATCTCCAATCTATGATCTGTTATGTATAGTGTAACCTACAACCTTCCATTCATAATCTTCAATATAGAATCTTCAATGTATCTGTATAGTGTGAGTATGGAAGATATAGCACCCAGTAACATCATATGTAGTTTGCAACATACAATATAAGGATTGATGTGTACACACGCACATATATATATATATAGATATATGTAAACATACTGTCTGAATATGTAATACTTATTATGCAGTTTATCATTTTACTTAGTTTAATATATATATATATATGTAAATATACACATGCAATATAGTTAGTAACACGTATATAGTATGTTATGCAACATCGCATACAATACGGATGTTGATCATCTAAAATAATATACTATCACACACCTACATATGCATATATATATATATACATTCCACTATATAGCGGCTACAAAATTAGATTCGTGTTTAGACCCTAGCCCTGATGCCTGAACCCTGAAGCCGCCGAAAGCCGTAAGCCTGAACCCGAAACCGTGATCACCGCCTCTCTGCAGAGCTGCCCGGCTGTCTGCTGGTAAAAACTGGCCTCCCAGCTTTCTTCTTCCATCGGCTGCCTTTCAAGAGCATCACAAGACGGTGTTCAGCCCGAGGTGCCCAAGTTTGGTGTTTGGGGTTTACGGATGTAGAATGTAGAGTTTGGCTGCAGGGGTTTGGGTTGAAACGTTTCTTTATGCCAGACTTGAACTGACAGGGCCTCCAGCTTGGAAGCTTCAAGATATCGAGATGTTCGAAGGCAGCCGATCGGACTGGGGACTTAAAAGATAGGTTAACATGTTATTTCGTGTCATGGCTACTCATGACGATCCGGGCATGCCCAATGAGAATGCTTCCGTTCGAGTGATTTCGATGGCTGCAAGACCTTCTGTCGGCTGACAGCCAGCTAGTTCTGTCGGTAGAGCAACATAAGACAATGAGTTTGTGGAGAAGAACGACACTACGAGCAAGACTGGTAGTAGAACTGTCAGTAGTATTGGGTTCAGCTGTTGACAGTTTTGTAGTATTTTTGGTAGCAGTACAAACACAAGTTCTAGTAGACGGGTTATAGTGGTGATGAGAGTAGGAGGAGTATATAGTAGTAGTAGTAGTAGTAGTAGTAGTAGTAGTAGGAGTAGTAGTAGTAGTAGTAGTAGCAGTAGTAGCAGTAGTAGCAGAAGTAGCAGTAGTAGCAGGAGTAGTAGCAGTAGTAGTAGTAGTAGTAGTAGTAGTAGTAGTAGTGGTAGTGGTAGTGGTAGTGGTAGTGGTAGTGGTAGGGGTAGTGGCAGTGGTAGCGGTAGTAATACTAGTAGTAGTAGTAGTAGTAGTAGTAGTAGTAGTGGTGGTGGTAGTGGTAGTGGTAGTGGTAATAATAATGGGTGGTAGTGGCAGTGGTAGCGGTAGTAATAAGTACTAGTAGTAGTAGTAGTAGTAGTAGTAGGAGTAGTCGTAGCAGTAGTACTAGTATTAGTAGTAGTAGTAGTAGTAGTAGTAGTAGCAGCAGTAGTAGTAGTAGTAGTAGTAGAAATTGTAGTAGTAGTAGTAGTAGTAGTAGTAGTAGTAGTTGTGGTCGTCGTCGTAGTAGTAGTAGTAGCAGTAGTAGTAGTAGTAGTAGTAGTAGTAGTAGTAGCAGCAGCAGCAGCCGTAGTAGCAGTAGCATTCCCACTACTACTACTACTTATTACTACTACTACTACTACTACTACTACTACTACTACTACTGCCACCACTACTACTGCTACTACTACTACTACGACGACTACTACTACTACTGCTGCTACTGCTACTGCTACTGCTTACGGCCACGGCCACGGCCACGGCTACGGCTACGGCTACGGCTACGGCTGCTGCTACGCCTACGGCTACGGCTACTACTACGGCTACGGCTGCTGCTACTGCTACTGCTGCTGCTATTGCACCTCCTGCTATTACTGCTACGACGTCGCCGAAGACGACTGCGACAGCAAACGACCACTTCTCAAATCCCTACACCAGTTTCTGAGACCGACGCGTGCCGTTCTTGCGATTTAGTTTGTGTTATCGTTCCGAGTCTGGGACATTTTCAGGTGGGTACTTACCGCTATAGGAGCCTATGGAAGAAGCCCTGTATGCCCTAAACTCTCCACCTGTAGTTTCCTTTAACCGAGTTCATGTTGCTAGCTGTTGTGCATGTTAATACTGGTTGCTGTTACATGCTAATGGGTTGCGCAAGCGAAATGACATTGACAGACATGTAGGTGCATAAACAGATGGCTAGCCAGTTTGCTGCTAGCATGTGCCGATGCAAACCGATCATTAGATCGTGTATTATACAGGCATGATATTTGCATCCATATCCGTTTCCATATCTGTACCCTCTATCTATATCTATAAATATCTAGATCTGTATCTACATGTATGTATGTATGTATGTATGTATGTATGTATGTATGTATGTATGTATGTATGTAATATATATATATATATATATATATATATACATACATCCACCTATGTAAGCTGTCTCAGCTCATGTACATGTACGTCTTGAGACACGAACAAGCAAAATTGCAACGTGTCTACATCGACGCATCTACGTACGTACATGTGTATCCCTGCGTCTGAACCTTTAGGCACCTACGAACAGTGAATTCCCTCAGATATGGGAGGGTTAGGATGTCTCTAGGACTGCAAGCAGCCCTCGACTTGTCGGCGCGCTGCGAAACTGTCGTTTCACCACCCGCAGCGAATGACAGGGCTAAGCCAGTGACAGGAAGAAGCGGCGACAATGGATTGACGAGATTCTCGCTGAGAAAAAGCAGGCCCGCAAGCTTCTAATCTAACAGAAACAGTTGCAGGAAGGGATGCAGAAGACACTTCGCTGGGTAGACAAAAGAGAAGAGAGGGGACCTATGTCTGGAGGGCTTGCACCAATCTCGGGCCGCTAGCAGCAGCGCGAGCTGCCGCCGGTTCCGAAGCATCCCGAAGGTGACGAAGAAACCTAATCTGTTGTTTGTTTGTAACTTCGCAACACTGCTCCAAAACAGGCGCGATTGTAGTGCTGGGGTT